GACATCAGCTATTTAGGGGCAATTTATTATGAGATTACAAATCTTAATAAGAAGAACGTAATTTTTCAAATATGAGGAAGAAATATATATTAAATAAAAATCTTAGGGGTATCAATGAAATTTGCCCATTAAATTTTAAGTCAATAATTAGGTAAATTTATTGATATTTTTTGTTTTTTGGGCTTCAATGGGGGAGGATTTCAACAATTATCGAGTGTAGACAAAAATAAATAAAAATAAGAAGAAGGAAAGGAGACGGAGAAAATGATTAAATGAACAATTAAGGTCAAGTTTGACATTTTTAAAAAAATTTAAAAAGTCAAAAAGTCACTATCCTATTTAAGTCATATCATCTTATTTAAATCACATCATCTCTCTATCACATCATTTCAAACCCAACCCATATTTCATAAAAAGTCAAAAAGTACACTTATTTAGGACATTCCAAATAACTCCTAAATCAATTATTAAATTATGGAGTGATTTGGAAAGTTTATTAAAAGTTAATTTTTTAACTTTTTTATCTTTTTATATGTAAAAAAATATGAGAGATGATATAATAAAAAATAGATTAAAAGCTAAAAGTAAGCTTCTAAAATTGCCCCTATGTCCACTCTTATTCCTTTGAAATAAAGCTGCAGTAAAAGAAATACAACATAAAATAAATCTAAGGAGTGTTTTAGGGTGATTTAAATAAGTGTATTTTTTTATTTTTTATGAAAATATATATATATATATATATGTGTGTGTGTGTGTGTGTGTATAGTTTGAAGGCAGCACGTTCGCATTTTGCTCAGTCTCAATCTCGCTCGTCACCCATCTCTCAAAGTCTCTCTCTTCTCTTTTTCACTAAGAATGTTCGAACTTGTGTTTCCAAACAAATAAGCTATGTTCAGGCCGATGCTCCCGAACAAATAACTAATGTTTGGGTCTATATTCCCAAACTCGATAAAATGAAAACTTCTACAAATGTGAACAATTTTAACCTTTCAAAATGTGTCAAATTTTTATGTTTAAACTTATATTCCCAAACAAATAACTAATGTTCGGGCTTGTATTCCCAAACAAACACGTAATGTTCGGGCTTGTCTTCCTAAATTTTGGTCGTATGTTCAGGAGTTCAGTATCAAAAAAAATACAAACAATTTTCATCATTTTTGACGTATTTTCGATAAATTTACCCTTACAAGACTAACCTCCTCCAAACTAAGAACACCATCAAAGCAATGAGTCTCCTCTAAACTTACACTGTTGTACTTATTTCGTCTCGTGAAGTTGTGGTTGTTAGAAAAACTTCCACTCATTGTCAATGCCAAAAAAGTGTGTGTAATCGAATGGTTACATCGTTGCCATCGAAATATTACCGCCAGAGGGTTCTCAAGATTTTGTGAAATTTGAAGAAGATGGATGGATGGATTGTGATAGAGATAGTTGCTCTCATGAACCCTATCTCATAATTTAGTGGGTATGTGGCCTTAATTGTGAAATAGGGTGTCGCAAAATGTTTGATATCTTCTTTAATAATTTCTTTTAATATTATTATTGTGATAAAAAAAAATCAAAAAATAGGGGTCCAAAATAATATATAGGGTGCTAATAACAACACTTTAATTCAATATTTTATGTTTTGGCCAATGTATTAAACTTCTGCATAATTTGCTTTTTAATTAGAAAATAAAAATAAAAGGATAAATTATGTTTTACATTAATTATTTTTTATTTTTTATTTTGTAATTATAACAATATTCTCTTACGGTTTTGACCAAATTGCAATGAGGCCTTGTTATTAATTTGGTGTTAAATTACTTAACGAAAATTGTCATCTGATCTACAAATGAGGCGTTTTTTTTAGAGCAAAAGTGTAATTTTCTTTCATTTTCTTTTTCTTCCTATCTAATTTTCAATTGTATTTTCTGTATATTGCAAACTCACCATGAAAGGGGGGTTGTTGATGGTGTTTAAAAAAATATAATAAATAGAGAAAATACTGTGCAAAATATAAAAAGAGTACAAAAAATGAAATAAAATTGTATTTTTGGCTCATATGAAGGTCACGTGACAATTTTCGTCATGCAATTTAATATCAAACTAACAAAAAGATCACATTAGAACCTGACTGAAAATATAATAAGCTGAATATTATAATTAAAAAATAAAAAACCAAAGTAAAATTTGAAGTGCGAAAGTACACAGTCTAATTTGCCAAAAATAAAAACATGGACCGTTTATCGGTAACCATGTTAGTTAAATTGTAACTTGACATGTTAGTTAATTAAGTTGGAATATGAATTTAATTAAATATTATGATATGTGGTTTAAGAAAAGTTAAGCTGCCGGCCGGTTTGTAAATCAACTTTGTGCACTGCTCATCATCCTATAATCCAATGCCAATATATTATTATTTTTTTCTTTTTAAAATCAACCCAAAAGGTAATTTGTTTGAGCAACAACATGCAGATAGAATTGGAAAAAAAATTTATAAACGCATAAGGGATACAAGTGTGTATGTGATATGGTGCAAATAAAAGGTTGTGGAGTGCAAGTCCATGTGTTAGTAATTTTTTTATTTCTCTGCTCGCACCTGCATGTAGTCTCCTAATTTATTAATACTAATGTGTTAAATTCTTATTTCTTTATTATCTAGACATATACTGGTATAGAAAATCATGAGCATTAATAGCAGCTCAATTTATTTTTATTTTTTTTAATCGGATCTTAATTTAAATATGAAAATTAGACATTATCTTATTGGACTTTTGAAAAATTGAGACATTGTGCAATAAGAAATTTTAAAAATTTTCTTAAAAATCTCAGATGATAGGTTAAGTGACATAACAATTGAGCAGCTTATGATAAGTATAGTAAGATTGAGGAGCTGTTTGGTTAGGCTACAAAGTTGCCTTGATGATCTATGACTCATCCCATTAACTACAAAAATAAATAAAGAATATTCACAGCATCTTGCTCCATTTATTATTCTTTTCTATTTGGTTAGAAAAGCCACCAATATGACTTGTACACTTCCTTTTATCTAAGATGTTGGACACTTTTTTATTATATCTATTCTCTTCTTTGATTCTATAATAGTTTTCATATAACATCATTCAGAAACTACAAGAAAAAATCCTAAGAAAAACATGTGGGCCCCAAATTAACATTTGCATTTGGAATCCATTTACTTAGAAATCCAATCACCTTTGATTAAGTTCCATTACAAATTCAATTACTAATTTCACTAATTTGACCCATATGATAAAAAAAATTAGTGCTTGACATATAAAAATATTAACCAACAGAGGTAGTTCAATTGACCACTCATGTATACAAACAAAGAGTAATTATTTTATTTCTTATTAAATTATCTTTTTTTAGTTGTTTCTTTCTTCCTATCACGAGACTTTGTCTTATATTGATATAAATGTAGTTAAACTTGTGAATATGTTCTATTGAATTTTTTTTTCATAGTTGATTGTTTAATTTAATATAATTTTCATGATATGTCTTGAATACATATAAAAACGCTCGAAGTATTTATTTGGTGTAATTAAGCCTAGAGGTGAATATTAGTCCAAATGCCCATTAATATGCCTAAGCCCCTCCATGATAAGGATAGGGGATAGATAGTTAAGAGGTTAAGGAATAATTATTATGTTCTTGTTCAAAATTATTCTCCCAAAATATCCATACGCTTAATTAGTAGCCTCAACCACGTCGATGGGTATTCTATCTAAAGTACACAAGCTCCAAAATCAACATACGCTTTACAACCTCATCATTTAAAACCAAGCGCAAACTCATTTCTTAGTTTCCGGAGCGAGAGCACCTATGGTACTTCATTTCCCCTTTTGTAGTAAGTCTTCTCCCTTGAGAAAAAAAAACCTTAGGTAGCATTTAGTAAAATTTTTTAAATATGATTTAAAAATAAAAATTATATTTTGACTTTGTGAATTTTAAAATTATAATTTAAGTGTAAAAAATTTATTTAGTTATAAGTTTTGAAAAGAGTTTTAAATTGAGTTTGATATGAATGATATGACATATGATATTTAATTCAAAACTTACAACTCATAACTAAACACACTACTCAAAATTCTTCAAAGTTCATAAAAAAATTTAAAAAAAATTCTAGAAATATTTTTATTTAAAAAAAAAAATACATTGCTTTAGTCAACCAACCAGTCAACCAGCCGGACGTTCGGGGTGACGACCCGATTAACCAAATTTTCCCACCTAGAAAGGAGTTTTCAAAAGTGAGTATAAAATTAATTTTTAAAAATTGCAACCAAATACCATGTGCAAACCAAGAGATGGAATTACAATTCCAAAACTCTTCCAAACAGAGCCTCTTTTTTGGTCGATGTCAGTTATCATATTCAAAATTATGGTTGTTTAAAATGTCCTAAATAAGTGCACTTTTTGACTTTTTATGAAATATGGGTTGAGTTTGAAGTGATGTGATAGAGAGGTAATGTGAGTTAAATAAGATAATGTGACTTAAATAAGATAGTGACTTTTTAACTTTTTAATTTTTTTTAAAGATGTCAAACTTAGGCTTGGTTTGGCATAATAAAAAAAAAGTCAAAAAATGTCTATCCTATTTAAGTCGCATCATCTTATTTAAGTCACATCATTTCTCTACCACATCACTTCAAACCCAACATATACCTAACTCATACTTCATAAAAAATCAAAAAATATACTTACTTAATTTATCCCAAACAATACTTTAGCCTTAATAACCCCAATAGCTATTAGGCTCTTCAGAAGTCATTTTCTAAACCCTGCTATCTAGTCCACTAACAAACCCAGTTGAACAAGAAAACTAGGCCTATCAAGAAGACAAGCTCCACTCTCAAGTTATGTGCATCATATACCAAATGTCATATAAAAATAATAATAAATGTAACATTATTGCAGAAAATAATGCCATAAAACACTAATAAAATTAAAGGCCAAGGTTCCAGACATGCAATTAAATCCACAGCCAAACAACATTATCATTCAGCTCAAGTCAGAGTAATAGATTATATCCAAACTCAATGGTTCTAAGAATATGTTCAAATTCATTGAGAGCATATTTGGCAACCATGAAAAGCGAAATCCGAAGCCTCCAAAGCCTTGGAAATAGAATTCAAAGCCATCTCAGTTCAGATTTTCGACTGATTATAATCTCCAATTCCAAATCCAAGGCTTCAACATGTCACCCTTTTCTAAGACAAAGCTAGCAAAACTGGAAAATTTAACCATTCTTGTATAGAATAACTTCTCAAAAAATAGAAACATTCTCTTAAAAACAAAATTATTATGGGAAAACTACGTACAGGTGGGAGAAGGGAGAAGGGAGAAGGGGAATAAAATTACTAACACATGAGAGGTGCAAGTGTGTCTGTGATGGGGTGTAAATGAAATACTGTTGGGGTGTAAGTCCTGTGTTGGTAAGTTTTTCCCCTACTCCCACCTGCATGTAGTTTTCCCAATTGTTATTAGGCCTATTAGACTCTCAAAACTCTGATTATATCATACAGACAATATGTACATTACACTAAGATTTCCAGTAACCAACCATCCCTACAATATCCTATAAGAAACACAAAAAGCCCATCAGCTTGAGTAACGCTTCAAAATGTAAAAACCCACCTGGGAACTGGTTCACGGTCCTGCCAAGGCCTTCATGGTTATTTAAAGATTTTGATCCAGCAAATTGCAGGCACAGGCAACATCAGGGGAAATCTGGGTTTACAAACCAAATTGCGGCTTCAAAAGCTAACAGCGCATACGAAACTGACGGCAGTGAAGGTTCTTTAGCTTCGTGAGTTCCTTCCTTTTCTTCCTGGCCTCTGCTGCTGCTGCAACCGCATCCATGTTTTTTTTACTTGAGCAGACTATTAGATCTTGTTTCAACTCTGACAATACAGTTACAGTATGACTAACAGTTGAAGAAACCACTACGTTAGCAGGCATGGCTTCTGTTGAACCAGACGCTTCAGTTTTAACATTTATAGGCAACGAATGATGGTGTTTCTCAGCATGTGCAATAGAAGATGAATTAGCACTACCTTGGTTATTCATCAAAGTTCCATTTTGTTCATCGTTGAGATCGAAGGATGGCCTAGATTGAAGTCCGTTCCCATGATCAGGAAAAGGGAAGAACCAAGGGCATGGCATGATGAACAAGGGAGTTCCTGGACTGTTAATATTTTGGGGATTTTCTTGTTCCTGAAATGAATTGGGTTTGGCAATGGCTGGCATGGGAACATCTGACGGAACAATAATGGAATTTTGAGACCCATTTTTTATTTGTACGGGATTTGAAGGTTGAATGATAGCAGGCCAGAGAAATGGTGTATATGGGGGTTGATTATATATGAAATATGGACATAGAGGAGTAGATATATCGGCGTTGGTCGACTTTGAATCTATTTTAGTTTCCTCTACCTCACCCTCCGTCATAGCCATCTGCAAAGTAGGAAAGAATGTTATTGAATTCTTAAAACATTAAAACATCTTACACCAATCATTACCTGTGCCTTTAAGTATTCATTTCTGCTCCTTAAATGTTCGTACTCACTCACAGCCAACTCCTTTTCCTGCCCAATAGAATTGTCAGCAGAAGCAATGAGTTCAGTAAAAGCCAGGATGTTAGCATTTAAAAGCTCAAGAACTACCGCACCGAATAAAATATACGGGAAGGTGGACCCAGAAACTCTGTACATAAGCAAGAACAATTTGATAATACTGCCAACCACATGGTTCCCATTGAAGTAGCACCATTCTACATGAAATACAATGATACGCAAAAAATCCAAGGGAGGGAACACTACCTACCTGTTTCAAATTCAGATTCTCCAGAGTTAGACTGGCAGCTTTTCTTGTCAACTCCGCATGATTAGCCTAAAACAAAGGAAAAGGCATGAGCTTAATAGTAATAAGTGAAGAATAATCTGTTGCACCTTGCAAACAAAAAAGAACATCAGAGCTAGATCCTGAGTAAATTAAAAGAACAATCAAGTGGATCTCTCTGTCTATGACCACTGTATATACTGTTCCTCTTCCACATTGCATATGCTTATTACTTTCTCCTCATTTATTATTATTTTTTGGTTCTATTAAATCACCTTATAAGTTTTGCTAATGTACTTATACCTGCACTTCCATGTTGCATACACTTATTACTTTTTTCTAATTTAATAATTTAATGCTCAAGGGCATGTGCTAAATTGCTTATATTATTTTCATATAAATCAGCTTACTACTTTTGGTAATGGAATTATATGCAAGGCCTTGAAACTATCCCTGTATTATACTAGCATCTTTTGGTTCTTCAGTCATCTAGAGGTGTATATTCCTATTTTACTTGGATCCTGTGTCATAAGCCATATCGTTACCGGAATTTGATGAAGAGCATAGTTATGTACCATAAAACAATTGCTTTTATATTTTAAAAGAATACACAGGTACGGCTCCTATATTTGGATTTAAAAATCTATTATCCACATAGAAGCATATTGTAGGAAAACGGGGTAGATTAAACAAAAAGTTGACTTCAAAGCTGAGTTCTTTAAATATATATATATATATTGATCCTAATATCCTAAGAAGCACGAATAATTCAAAGAAGGTGGCATGTCGTGTCAGACACCACCATAACATGACACCCATTGGATACTTCCCAACACACATGTCCAAACATATTTTATTTTACCAAATTTTCTAGACTCTAGACATGTTTTAGACATTTGGTGAACACGTGTCTATCGCCTAGACAAACATGAAACACAATATAAGTTCGAATAAAATAATTTAGAATCCCATAATAAAAGAGAAACAACATAAATCTATACACATTCTTCTCCTTTAAACTTGCACACACACACACACACACACAAAAAAAATTTAAATTTTGGTTTAGGTTTTCAGGATTTACTTTTCAGAAAATTAAATTTTTTGTTTTTACTGATTTTTTTAATATTCTAAGCAATTTTTTTAATTTCTAGATATACCTAACATAAATACACTTAAAAAGTATAATATTTATGAAAAAAAATCTTTACAAAATTCACTAAATACCAAAAATAAAAAATAAAAATATGAGAATTCAGTATATTTTTCATATTCTTGTGTATTTATTGATTTTTTAAAAATATTTTATTTTTTAGATACATCTAAGTAAGGTGCATCTAAAAAAGTAAAAAAAATTGCTTAAAATTTTAAAAATATTCACTAAAAACAAAAAAATATGAAAACCAAAAAACTCAATTTTCAGAAAATTGAAACCAAACACACTAATTATTATTCAAATTTTCATATATATGACATAATTACTCATCCTTGTATATGCTTTATAATAAATATATACAACTACATATTTTGCAACATTCTTCACGTGTTGTGCCTTACATTTTTTAAGATTTCATGTCGACGTGTCCATGTATTGTCCCGTGTTCGTGTTCGCGCTTAGCTAATACCAAAACCCTAAAAGAAACTTTTGTTTAACTTCTTCCTTCCCAAGAGAACAAGATTTTGTGGACGTCAATGTACCTGATGCCTACAGCATAAATGTGCGTTAAAGTAGTCCTCTCACTATCTTACCACCCAATAATAATAAAACAAATTACCATGCCTTACAACCAAGCCCAAGTATTTCTTCAACAAGACTTGGTGATATAGATTATGGATGAACTTGAACTTTGATAAACTATTACTCCACTAAAAAAACCAACATGCAGCATGGAGATACCAATCCATGTATCACTAAGCAGCAAGACTTTTCGAACCATAAGATGCTGAGTAGAAAAACAAGTTGGCAAGATCACTAGTACAGTGCAGATAGAGCATTAAACAGCAAGAAAGGTTTACCCTGTATCCTTAGTAGGTGTTCTACCATGGTGGAAAAAATTCCCTGTTATACATGCTTCTTGAAGCAATGATACAGTATTCACCTTAATTCAATAGTGTATATATTTAGTACTCGGAATTCTGTTTTCTGTTTGTTAACTTCCCTGCTAACTATACCACCCAGCAGGATAGTGCCTCATGGAAAGGTTGCCCGAGTAGGTTCACCAGAGAGTGGAAAAATACATCAGAGGCACCAAAGACAATGACAGTGAATGGGAGAGAGATGGAGGGTGAGGGGGGCAGAGGAGAACCAGAGCTTAAAATACAGAGCTCTAGTGAAGACCTCAACCTTAAACTGATGTACTCTAACAATGATATAATGAAGTACCACCTTCGACATATAGAAGGTGAGTACGTGGCCATAACTAACTATCTGGGATGGTCGTCGTATACTTAGGGAATTGGTTAGGCTTTGTCAGAATTCAGTTAGGTTGTTAAGATTGTCTCTTCATTCAGGAGACCTCCAAAACAAAATTTCAGTGGCAATGTATCTCTTTCAGTAGGACTGGACTAAAGCAGCCCACCCCTACATGGGGTACAACATCTCAATGAAGCCTCCATCTCTAGCCTCCGACCCAACAGTATATGAATCAATCAGATATCAATCAATAATATCAATCATCAATACATATTTCATTCTCTCTATTTTTCCATACATCAAATTTAACAATAAGATCCACCAAAATGGAATAGAACAGACAGTACAACCACTGCATTTTTAGTTATGAGACATGAACAGTATGACTACCACGGTAATGAGGCTTAAGCACACACACAGTGTTGTCGGTCCTTTTGAACTTACTTGTTATGACCAAACACGTGAACCATACACGTGTCCTTGAAGGCTAACATGTGTAGGTCAATAGGATGATGTGTAATCATGCTGCAAGTCACAGTCACACGTCATTGCTTATGCATCTATCACACATGGCAGACAAGGTACAGGACAAGGCGAAGCTAATGATAAACAAATAGGGTCAAAAACACACAACACATGCTCACTGCAGAAATAAAACACGAACTATCCAGACAAAAACACACAATTCTGCCAACCAGAAAACGACGAAGAATATCACAAGTTGACAGTTTTAAGAACCACAAATGTATTAGATTGAGTAAATAGAGCTCTCTTGCCTACGCCAACCAAGAAACAACGAAAAATATCATGAGTTGACAGTTTTAAGAACCACAAACGTATTGGATTGAGTAAATAGAGCTCACTTGCCTATGGCGAATTGTAACGAAAACACACAATTCCGCCAACCAGAAAACAATGGAAAACAACACAAGTTGACAGTTTTAAGAACCACACATGTATTGGATTGAGTAAATAGAGCTTACCTGTCTACGACGAATAGTCTGCCTAGCTGACTCTCTGTTCGCTAGAACCCTGCGTATTCTCTTTTCTTCCTTTTCAGCCTGAATGAGAAAAAAACTTATATTAGATATAAAGAGCATAACAATAAAATTCATAGAAGGAAATTGAAACGTATATTAGATATGATGAGCATAATAATAAAATTCATAGAACGAAATTGGAACTTTAGGTACCTCAGTCAACTTTTTTCTTGACTTGCTGCCACAAAAAGATGCATAACTTGTGGAGCACTTAGGACTTGGTTCAGGTAATTCAGCATCCTGCTCAACTTTTGCCCCTTCCATCATTACAGTGCATATATTTTCACATTGCTGCTGAGCAACTGCTGCTTGATCCTGATACAAACAAAAACAGTTCTCAAGTCCTGAACAAAGTACTGCAATTTGATGATAGTGCAAATTTTACATAATTAGCCGGTGGGCTAACCTCCTAGAAACTACACAGCAAGCTAAACAATCTCATTAAACTATGAACAAAAAGGAACCTAAGAGTGTACATGCAAAATATGGAAAAACGCAAATGTTCTCTTCAACCTGTGGCCAAGTGGTTCTAAAATTTTCATGAAATAACATAACGCATAATAAAAATAAATATGCACAAAGAGATGAATATAAAATCGAACCACATACACAGAAACAAAACAAGTTATCATTGACAGTCAATGATCAGAGAGTGAAGCTATGTTTAAACTTTAATAGGACATTGGATTTATCATGGCATTAAGAAACAAATATGAGAGGTATATTTGCAACAAGGCAATTAAAAATAGGACACCTGAAAATCCATGTCTCTTCTTGACCAAGGTTAGAAGTTTTCTTAAGCTTGGAACAAGGTTCAAGCAAGTCAAATTGTTAAGCCTGTGTGAATCATACCTTACATTAACATTGCATTACATTCTTTCTTTTTTTTTAAATTATCTCCCGTAACGTTAGTTTCGACCTCCATTCATAAAGATGCCAAATAGTCAGTATAGACACAACATTGACTCCAAATTTAGAAAAGACCTTTATTCAATAATTCTTAGAGTCGGTGAAATTCTAATACTTAACCTAATGCCCAAGACTCTGTTTGAAATTTTCATCAACATGATTTTGTCATTTAGAAGCTTTAATGACTATTATATTAGAAGATCGGTAGAATAAAACTCAAATGGCCAAAATTTTCCGAAGTTTAGACTTTAGAGCTAATTTCTGAAATTTCCAATAGGCAACACTTCAAAACCGTGAATTATCTCAAAGCCTTTGTTACATGAACTCTTCTAAATGTATAAAGTAGTTGTGTTGAATACTCATCACTTGTGTAAGGGGTACGGGGATGTGTTTCGACATGTGAAATTACACATTCAATTTTACCATGAAACTATCCATGGAACTCTCGTATTATATGTGAAATGCTCTATGGCACCTTGTAAATACCATTTAAGTATTCAAATGTAGAAGATGAAAAAAGCATATTACGAAATTTGAATATTTTGTCGTATCTCTGTCTTGGAGTAGGTTTAAGTGGGTGAAGTAGGTGATAGGTTTTAACATTGAGAAACATATTAAAACATGGGAATAAGATGAATCGAACACTTAGACACATACCCGCACCCGACATCCATACCTGAGTCCATTTCATTAACATATCTCAAAACCAAGCCCTAAAAAACAGGAAAATACGAATATCAAGAAATACTTGAATATAAATTTTGTTTATCCAAAAAAGCCCCTTCCACAAGAGATAATATAGCCCTGTAACAACACAATATAAGGTCAATCTATGGTACAGGTGATGATGGCAAACAACTTTAATAAATGTGAAAAAATAGCTTACAAGCTACGAAGCATGAACATTTCTATGAAGGAAGTGTGTCATGTCAGAGACACCAGCACTCAACAAAAATCCTAAGAACTTGTTCAACATTTCTTCATTTTGTATTAATAAAAATTTAAAATTTATAATATTAGACATTTGACCACATTTCTTAAACACTCCGAATGACCTATGTATGAATCTCTTCATAGTAACCAACAATGTTTTGCATTCTTCGAAATACAACTCGTGCACTCTAAATATGTTTTGAAATATTTTTTAAAAGAATACATACATGTGTAATTCAACGTTCTACAATGATTTTGTATTTTTTAGAATACAATTGTTACATGAATAACATCTTGATATTTAAATTATAGAATATATGCTTTTTAATCTTAATTAGTATTATGTTGTTGTTTTTCATTCTTTGAATAATTTTAGGAATTATCTTCACCTTTGTAGACTCACTGCCCTCAGTCTGCCAGTTGCCAACATCAGACACTTATGTAACCCACAAAAGGCAAAGGGTAAACGCCACAATCTGAATAATGGGATATTCATACATTTAACACATAATAAATTTATAAAATAATATAAATATTTAATGTGTCCTACGCATATCGTGTCCTGCATTTTTTTAATATTGTTGTGTCGGCGTGTTCGTATCTATGCTACTTAGCTTACAAGCAACTACCTCATTGACACACAACTTACAAGCCCCACCTCTAGAGATTATTAAAAGGCTAAGAAAAATTTAGTTATAATAATATTGTTAAACGCAAACTCACAAATATAAGTTAGCCTAAACTTGGAAAAGCATTTAATCATATAACTAAATTAAAAGAAGCACCGGTAGTCCATTATTCTTTCCCTTCTTACAAAGCAAAATAAACCACCTTTCCTTCCCAAATGACCTCAAGACTTGGTCACCTCAAAACCTAACTTAAATATATATTAAGAAGTATTTTAAAATATAAAAAGGCACGATTGGTTTAGCAAAATAAAATTGGTCTACTTAATTTAAGAACTAGAAATTTCACATTCATTGTTTGGTGGGGGGCTATTTTCCATTCGAGATCAAATTCTACCTAAAATAATTTGAATTTTGATATCATGTATGATTACAACTTTAAGCCTAATAATAAAAATTTGGATATGGTAATTGTGGTAATGAAGGGTTTGGAAATGATGACATGAAGGCTTGGATATAGTGATGAAGGGTTTGGATTCATTGTTTGACGGTGCTATTTTTCCATTTGAGATCAAATTCTACCTAAATGCAATTTGAATTCTGACATAATGTATGGAATAACTTTAAGCCTAATAATAAAAATTTGGATATGGTAGTTTTAGGGGTTTGCATATAACGATGACATGAAGGATTGGGCATATTAGTTATGGTGGTAATGGTGTCAAGGACACAAAAGGAAGGAAAGTGTTGACAATAACTATATAATGGTGATGGTTTAGATGTTAATGGTGCCGACACTAACGTGTATAAAGGTGGCCATGGTACAAACATGTTGTTGTGTCATGATGGTGGATGTAGTGTTGGGTAGTGGTAGCAATGGTGGTAGTTGGTCATGATAAAAGAGTTGTTAACAATGCCAATACAATGGCAACACAGTGGCAATGGCAAAGCCTGGAGTTTGTGGCAACAATCGTGGTGACTGTAGAAAAAATTGGGAAAACTAACAACAGGCAAATGAAATTAAGAGGGAATTGAAAAGATACTTACTTTTGGTTACTTTTGTGGTTCAATGTGATTAAAGAGAGCTTTTCCTCATCGTTCTCTAAAATAGCACAAAAAATACTACTCATACATTATGTGCAATATCTACTTAATAGTGAGTTATGTAGTCTAGTGTAAAATTTACCAAATTACCTACTCAAGTTTAAATAAACAAGGATCTACTTAGTAACTACTTATAAAGCTCAACTTAGACAAGCCATCTTGTTGATGGTTTACTTCACGTTGCTAGGCCTTATGGGTGTTCCTACATCGGAAGTGACGGAAATAGTAATGGTATTAGCAATGGTGGTAGTTGTGGCTGAAACAGTGCTAGTCATATTGGCATTCATAGTTTTGTTTTAATTGTTTCCCCATTCTTCTTCTTCATTTTTATATCATTTATAAGTCTCCATCTTATTTTCTTCTTTTCCAACAAAAATACAAATCTTCAGCTTAGTGTGACCAAAAATCAAGGAACCAAAACAAAAACTTCTAGGTATTTCACCAAAAAGAAGAAATTTGAACAATTTTCATTCTTCCTATATGGAAATGGCCACAGGGCTGAAACTTGTTATGCGGGTGGAATTTTTTCTTTAATGATAAGGAGGAAAAGCGTATGTGGGGGTTTATTCAATTACTTTCTTCCCCTTTTTTCTTGTTTGTTTGTGTGTGGGTGAGGTATCATTTATGAATGAAATATCTATAAAAAAAAAAACATTCTGGGATGGGGTGAGGGACTATCACTTATGTCAAGCATCTGTTGGAATTTACATAATAGTGCTTTATGATGTAATTCCACTTGCATGATCTGCGTATGCTAACATTTTGAAGGATTGTGATAAAATTTAAGAACCAATAACTTAATGACAGCAAATCCAATCAACTAGATCCATCTGTCCTACCACTCAATGCTTAAAAAGACACAAGTGAATATGACGGAATTTACATAAATGGACTACAAGGTTTGTAATCCCGCTTGGCATATATTCTAAAATTTTATATGCTTCTTAAAGTCATTGAGACCACTCTTTGATCCCTAATTTCCTTAATAAATTTATTAGCAGAAAGTATCTAAAAAGTGGTTCCTCTCTCCTGATAGAAAAAGTACACAATTTGCACTTGGCACTCTTTTGTTCATGTTTAATCATCATCATCATCATCATACAAAAAGCGTAAACAAACAATTAATTAATGGGAAAATTACCTGTCAGTGGTACTATGAAAAATTATTACAGATTCATGAAAAAAAATTATAACTTTAATTACTAATGCGTATAAAATTTACCACTTTGTACTTGCTTTTAAAAGTCCTGAAATTCATCCCTTAAATTAATCTAGTGAAAAGTACTAGTCTTCAATAAATTGATTTCAGAAACTAAAGTTTATGATTCAGGACCACAAACAACACCACCACCACAAAACCTAACAAGCACAAATTGGGAAAATATACACATTTATTATTGTGAATATGAATATCAGGAGTGTGTTCTCTGTTGTGTGTGTGTATATAATATATATATATATATATACAAATATGTACAATAGATATCGATAAAAACATATATGTAGATAAATTAATCATAATAACAAACCTCCGGGGGATCTGAAGACAAACGTAACGATAATTCAAGGTTCGCCACCGCGTCGACGGTGGTCGACTCGGTTTTGACTCGCTGACTCGGGCCCGCCCGTTGGTTCGAGCACCGAGTCGAATGCGCTAGGGAGGTTAAAGCCTCCGCCGCTTCCAACTCATTCTTAATCATCGCGTCGCCACCGCATTCCGAATTCTCGCAGCCGCAATCCTCCTCCTCCTCCTCCGCCGCCGCTGCCGCTGAGTCAGACCAGGTCACGGAGGTGGAATCGGAAGAAGTCGAAGCCCTAGTCGCCATTGCTTTGTGATTCAACTCAGAGTCCATGGTTTTTCAGTCCATGGAAGAACACAGAGTGAGAGAAAAAGTGAAGAGAGAGAGAGAGAGAGAGAAGAGGAAGGGGGTTGGCTTGTGTTGTGAGGGAATGCTCTCTCTCTACTCTCTCTTCTCTCATGCAGGGGCAGTGCCATGTGTCGTTGCCAGATCACATTCCATAGTCGAGCCCATGTATGTGCGATTGACACGTATAGTTTTTTGGCCACGTAGGACGGTTCAAGTGTGCGAACTTTGCACGTGCCGAGGAAGTTACTTCGGAGTTCGGAGTGACAACGAGTCGGTGGGACTTACTTAAGACACGTGTCTTTTTTGGGAGTGGAAACGTGGATTAGGTTTTTCTCTCTCTTTATTTTCTCTTGCTAAAATGCGCCTTTCTTTCGTGTGCTTATGGGATAGGCTCCCTCCATTCCTCTCCATGCCCCTATTGTAGCTCCAATTCGGATGCATACTGATAATTTAAATCATTTATTTCATAAATTTCGTAATAAATTTCATTTCTACAAAAAAATAAATTCTATCAAAAAATTATAAACTTAAGAAAAAATCTCATCTTGTTTGAGATTTTTTTTTTAAATTCATAATTTTTTGATAAAATAAGTTTTTTTCTTAAGTTTATAATTTTTCGATAAAGATCAATTTTTATATGGAAAACTTTATTATGAAATTTACAAAATAGACGATTTGGATTATTGGTACGGATCTAAATTGGGACTTACAAAAAAGATATAGAGAGGTATGGAGAGACGAAGATATGGAGAGAACTTATCCCAGATTATGATCAGATGAAATTAAAATCACTAATACAACAAATCTAGACATAAAAATCAAAATTTTATATTAATGGCTCACATTTATTTCATGAGTAGATTTTACCATATACTAAATCAATTTTCATCATACATTTATCCTATTGAAAAAAATTTAGGTAAATATTTCATGGTCCATAACATTTTTGAATTAATTTATAGAGAAAATTTTGAATAGGAATTTATAAAATTTAACTCAAGTATATAGTTTTAATGAATTATATAATTGGCTGTTAATAAAACTTGAAATGCTTATACATTTTTTATGAAATGTATTTTGGTAAAATATATATAATTATTTAAAAAAATTAACAAATATCTAAAAAAAAACTCCCGTTTACAAAATGCTTGGTTAGAGTTTTCCAAAAACTCTTTTCAGAAAATTCTATTTTCTTATTTTTCATATTTTTTTGTTTTTACTGAATTTTTTAATATTTTAAACAATTTTTTTTACTTTTTAGACATACCTAACATAAATATACTTAAAACGTAAAAAATTTGTGAAAGAAACCTTTTAAAAATTCGCTAAATACCGAAAATATAAAAATAAAAAAAAACGAGAATTCAGTATATTTTTTGTATTTTTATGTATTGATTAATTTTTAAAAATATTTTTTCACAATTTTTTTTACTTTTTAGATACATTTAAATAAGGTACATCTAAAAAAGTAAAAAAAATGTTTAAAATTTTAAAAATATTCACTAAAAACAAAAAAAACGAAAACCAAAAAACACAGTTTTCAAAAAACTTAATTCAAAAAACTCAAACCAAACACAATAAGTCTGTAAATCATGAATTTTATCCATAAATTATCCCAGACTTTCTAATGAATGGTGTAGATTTGATTTTGTTGTTGTGGATGCACCTCAAAAATAGATCTAACCCTTTAATTTTAACTTCTGGTAAATTTATGGGTTTGTAGACCTTAATTTTGTCAAGAAAAAATGTTATATAACCAAAAAAAATCTTAAAATATATTAGTAATGCTATAGACTTCAAAAGATTTGTTAAAATTTCTACCAAATGTTTCACATAAAAATTTAAAAAATGTTAGAAATTCCAAATATTCTATCAAATGTCTCACATGAGTGTAAGATTCACACCATGCGATCTTATGTGAGTCTCACACCCATATGAGACAATTGATAAAATATTTGTGATGCCTAACATTACTTTAGAAATTTTGACAAATCCTTTAAGGTTTTTATTATTTTTTAAAGGGCCATTTTTTGATAAGTCCTATTTATACCTGTTTTGTTCCATAAAACCCAAACTGTTTCTGAATATTCCATTAGGTCCATTAATTGTTAAAGGACGAAATAACCCTCTCCGCCTCTTCCGCGTGAAACTGATTCTGCAAAAACCCGTTCCTATTCGAAATATTCAATCCACAAAATTTCCAAAACAAAAACTCAATCGACGAAACGATACTGATATTGCCTCCAGTAACCCTAGATTCCTCTTCGTCTCACCACTGCGAAGCTTCACATCGGAAGGAGGGTGCTTCATCGTTCGAAGATTCTTGTCGCCCCATTGAGTTTATTTTATCCACTGACTGTGATCCATACCCACCAACCATGACGAACAAAAGTAAGGAATACCATTCCACCTTCTGCTTCTCAAATCATAATGTCATCATTGATGTATACATACACCTTCTGGTTTTCGGATTTGAATTTGTAAACATAGATGTTTTCGGAATTAATTTTGTAAAAATATATGTAAACATTCACATTGGCCTCTAACTGTTGTAGTTTTCGGGATTTGTTTTTGCACACATGAATGATGTGAACATTCACATTACTATTGATTACTGGGTAAATTTAGAGTAGTACACACTGATGTGCATGTTCACATCATGTGAATGTTCACATTAATGTCAGAAACCCCAAACTGCACTCAACACTGTGCTGAAGTGTGATTTAAACATTGACATTGTGACATCAATGCCCAAGTTGTTTGTGTTATTGGGTGTAGTTTGGCACTGTTGGTTCCCCCCTTCGATTTTTAGAAAATTATAACATAATGTAACCACCCATGTAAGCATTCACATTGGCCAGTAAATGTTGTCGTGTTCGAAATTTATTTCTCAAACATGGATGATGTGAACATTCACATTACTATTGATTACTGGGTAAATTTAGAGTAGTGCACACTGATGTGAACATTCACATCATGTGAATGTTCACATTAATGTCAGAACAACCCAAACTTCTCTCAATACTGTGATGGAGTATGATGTAAACATTCACATTGTGACATCAATGCCAAAGTTGTTTGTGTTATTGGGTGTAGTTTGGCACTGTTGGTTCCCCCCTTCGATTTTTAGAAAATTATAACATAATGTAACCACCCATGTAAGCATTCACATTGCCCAGTAACTGTTGTCGTGTTCGAAATTTATTTCTCAAACATGGATGATGTGCACAAATACCAATCTAATATGAATTAGAATCCCAGTCATCACACGTACCTAAGTTCCCGAGCCAAGACACTTTGGTGATGACGGATAAGTGGTCTTTAGCGTGAGTCACGGGTTTCCTAAATTTCTCAAAAATATTTAGGTGGTGACTCTGTAATCTGGCAAAGCAGTCCATTTTTGGCAT